AACCTGAAGTCTTTAATCAAGACAATAAAAACTGAACAATTAGAAGACAACTGCTCTTCTGAGGGCAAGATCACACACACACACACAAAACATAAAAACTGAGAACTTTATTTGATGAACTTACTGATGACTGTAGCCTGGGAATCAGATTCTTGGATAGCTCTGAAGAACTGTTCCTTAAAGGTAAGGGAGGAGCCAGAATATATAGTTTTTGCTGGGGAAAACAAAAAACCTATGGTTGAACATTAATCCTAATGTTAACATTAATCCTCCTATTCACACATACACACAAAAAAACAGATACCTCAAGTTAATGATTTTAGTGCTTTACTTTGTATGGGGCAATGCAGGAGTCTGGGCTTACTGAAATTATTCCTTTGATACGCACCTTAACCACGGAGGGCCAGCATCCTGTTTTTCTCCAAACTGAATCCCCGCAGGGTGCACATGCACTGCTGGGGGTGGCTTTATGACCACCATTTCCTGAAATGGCAAATTACATTCTTTGTCCACAATATCCACCCTGATTCCTCTTTACTTTTCTCAGAAAACCAATCTTCTGAGGCCCCAAGCCTTGCTGCTATCTGGGTTCACTAACGTCAACCTTACTTTCTACCTGGAAAGTGTAGTCTAGCCAGACCTGCAGACACGTGGAACCTCATTGTAGGTCAATGGCTCCCAACCCCTCGGGTGTCCACATGGTTGCCTCTGTCTGGAACGACCCTCTTCTGCACCTGGAGCAATTCTGCTCATCCTTCAAGCCCCTGCTCAAAGCTCCCCTGAATTCTAGCACATGGGGTTACTGTGAAAACTGAGGTCACAGAGGTCAAACTCTTGGCACAGACTGGGTGGTTGTTCCAGGACAGCTCAGATTGTCTCTGTCATGCCCTTACTCCCACCCCTCTCGGGGGATCCCTCCTTTCCACAATCCTGTCTGCCTTTTACAGGCTTCCCTGGTAGCTCAGATGGTAAAGAATCTGCCTGCAATCTGGAAGACCCGGATTCAATCCCTAGGTCAGGAAGATCCTGTGGAGAAGAGAATGGCTACCCGCTCCAGTATTCTTGCCTGGAGAATCCCATGGACAGAGGAACCTGGGGGGCCACAGTCCACAGGGTCGCAAAGAGCTGGACCCGACTGAGCGACTGACACTGCCTCTCACACATCCTCACGTTGCTGCATGGTGACTGGTGAACTCACTGCTCTCCTCTGTGAAATCCCAACTCCTTGAGGTCTCTTGCTTGTCTTTGGGGTCCCTTCCCCTTCCCCTGGCACTTAGAGGGTTCCAAGTGTATTTGCCTATAAATCCTTTTGTCTCCCGACTCCAGAGATAGCAGTTTGATGAATGATCAGAACATCGTGATAAATTAAAATTCATTTTATGATGTGACTGTGGAGACAAAGACTGTGCTACTAGTGACATCATGTCGGGCTGATGACACCACTAATCATTAGTAATGTTTGTTTCAAGACAGTGTCCTTGGCCTGATACGAATGGGGAGAACAGTCCAGAGACCCCAAGTGCATCATAGCGCTGTAGTGTCATAGCCCACAGGGATGGGCTATGCAGCTGGTGTTGGACTGAGCTGGTCTACTCCTTGGGACAGAAATTCATTCATCTCTACATGCCCCAGCATCTCACTCAGTATTTCTGGAAAACTGAAGTAATCCTTTCACCTGAAACTGGTGGTGGTGTTGAAGATAAGTGCAGAAGAAACCTCCTTCTGCATCTCTCGACTTCCCCACTGACTGAAAAGAACAGGCCACATTGTAGGAAAGTTCCCGGATTGTCTGTGGGTCACAGACACACTCCATGCCCACATATACCTCTGGGCAAAGGCACTGCCATTCCCCACTGTGGGACAGCCCTTCCCCTCTATCCTGTGACTTCCCAATATTGCCAAAAACCTCACTTAAACACCTTCTCTATCAGGTCTTCCTGGTCCAGCCCCTTGAGCGTTTTTCCTGATTCAACACTGGTCATCATCACAAGGTCAAGGCAGTCTTAGGGCAGGCAGGAGGGGTGGGCAGGCAGGCCCCATCTCCGCAGCTCTAGCAACAAGATCTGCAGTGGTGAGGCAATGTGCTCACTGGGTCTGAAGCACATCCTCCAAGGTCTTGAGCTCCAGCCTGTGGTATGACACGAGCAAGGGCTGCAGACAGAGACCCAGAGGTGAGGACAGAGGGCAGCTGGGAGCTGAGAACCAGGAGTAGGACTTCAAAAGCTGAGACGCCGTTGAACATAAAGCCCTGAGCGGGGAGAGCAGTGGGTTGAGACTGGTGGAGGGGCTTAGCAGAAAGCACAGATCTGGGGGACACTGAAGAATCTGCGTCCACCCCCCCCCACCCCCCCCATAACTCAGTAGTGTGATCAAAAGCAAACCACTTGGCTTCTCTCAATTTGGTTTCCTTTGCTATAAAATGGTCTCCTAGGAGCAGGAACTAGACTCTTACACCACTTTTCTGGAAGATGTGAGCCACACCACGGGTTGGGATCTCTAGGCACTAGTCTCAGGCCTCCTGGGAGTTCCCTGGGTACCCTGCAGAGACGAGATTCCCATGTGGGGCGTTTCTACTTTGTGGCTTGCCTCTGACATTGTTTAGCTCAATTTCTCTAAAGGGTTTATAGAGCGCTGTAACATCCACGGATGCAATCTCATTGCATCGTCCCATCAGCCTCTTTTGCAGATTGGGAGACCTGGGGCCCTGATTTGCCAGTCACTCTGTGGGGACCTGAGCTCGCAAATCCCGCTCGAGAGAGCACCCGCACCGAGGTCGCGGGCGCAGAAGCCCGGCACCGGAGCCCTCCCTGGGGCGGAGCGAGCCGGCGCGGGGCGGGGCCTTTTCGGGTCACGTGACTCCCGGCCCGGAAGCGCTCGCGCCCGACACCCCCTGGTGACCGGGTAGCTAGCTACCATCTCGAGCGAGCGCGGAGATTGCGGGGGGTCTCTGTAGTATCGCGCTCCGCGCATCCGCCGCCATGGCCTGGACCAAGTACCAGCTGTTCCTGGCCGGGCTCATGCTCGTCACCGGCTCCATCAACACGCTCTCGGCAAAGTGAGTCCGGGCCTGGCCTGGAGGGGTGGGGGCTTGGCAGGGTCTGCAGCCGCCCGCAGGGGCGCTGGTGACCCCCGCCCTCCTCTTGGGCCCTCCCCCTTCGCGGCTGTCATTTCCTGGCCTCACCAGCCAGCCCAGTTTCTCTGATCGGTTCACGCGGTTTACGGACCACCCAAGAGGTGCAAGGCACCGGGGAATGCGAGGAGGAGCGAGCAGTGTCCTCGCCGGAGATCCGAGCCCCCGCTCTGATCCCAGCGAGTCACTTTCCAACTCAACATCTTTAATGGGAGGGCGTTCTTCTCCGCTGCCCCTTCCAAGGTGGCATCAGGGGCGCGGCCCTCCAGGAACTGTGGGCCAGGGAGGGATACGATAGATGCCACGTTAGCCGAGTGACCCGTGAGCATGGAGTGCTGCGATGACAGAGTAGGGGGTGCTCCGAGGGCTCCTCTTGGAGAACTGGTTTCAGCTGGGCCTTGAAGCTTGGGTGGAATTTCTGCTGTGGTGGGAACCTCGAGGCAGGAGCAGCAAGGCCAGTTCTAAGGGGATTGTAACTCGCTTCAAATGCCCAGGCTGGATTTTATCCCACGATCAAAGAGAGGCTTTTGAGAAAGTGATTCAGTGAACCTGGTGGTCAAGGTGAAAAGTAATTTGCTGGAGGGAATACCACTCCAGGGCTGCTGCACAGCAGATGAGGGGACCTTGGAGGTGGAGGTGAGGTGGAAAGGGAAGGGCCAGGTGGGAGAAACCAGGTGCAGAGTGAAACCACGAGGGCTGACCCACAGGATCAAATAGTCACTCCTGGGCTTCTGCCTGGGAGAACAGGAGTGTTATTAACCCAGACAGGGCAGGCAGGGGGAGTTCTGCTCTGATGTCAGAGGGTGTGGTGCTCATGGGCCCGTAAGGACAGTCCTCAGAAGGTTGGGAGTTGATGACCTGGGGCTGTCATGAGGCAGCAGGACCCAGCACGGTCTCCTCTTTGTAAAAAGCAGGAGGCCCGGAAAGGCAGCCCCTTCTCTTGATGGCCCTTTGGCTCTTTCTCTGTCCCTAGCTCGGCACCAGGCCTTCCTGCCCCTCTGCCCACCACGAGCCCCAATACCCAGAGCCCAGACTTTCTCTGAGCCAGTTCCAAGGTGCATGTGGAAGACAGTAGATAGTGACCCTCTCCCAGTCAGACCTCACTTCCACCTGGGTCTTGCCAGGCTCGAAGCAAAGGGGAGTCACTCCAGTCACCCTGAGGGCGGTGCCCCAGGCCCGTGGGGGTCCTGGGGATGGTTGTATCTTACTCATTTGCTAGAGTGTTTTTCCCCAGCACACTCCATCAGTGATGTGAGAAAAGCCCTAGAAGAGAGGTCTTGGAGAGAGGTCTTCTGTTCAATTCTTCAGACATATATAAGGTACTTAGAGTATGGGAGCCTAGACTCAGGGAAGAAGACAGAAGTGACCAAGAGAAAGTCCTGGCCTTTGAGATGCTTAGAATCTGCAGTGGGTGAGACAGATGTGTACATGCTTGACAAGCACAGTGTCCTCCCTTCTCCACAGGAACGTGGACCTCTGGGTGGGGCCCACCTGTCTCTCCCACTGGGCTCTGGCCAGCCATGTCTGTGTCTTGTGCTGGGCTCCTGGGCCCTGAGGCCTCCTGAAGGGTGCTCCTCTTGCTGAGCACTTAGCTATAAAGGAAACTCCACCTGAGGTCTTCCATCTCTGTTAGGATCTGAAGGCCACAGAACAAGTCATTGGCCATCAGTCCCACAAGCCAAGGCCTCAGTCTGGTGCTTACGGGGTGGCTGTGATCTGCCAAGGCCACTGTCCCCACGGAGAGCTGAGTTACTACTGAGGTTACCTGTGCTGACTCAGCTCCTTCCTTAAAGAGATCCAAACCAGTCTGATGAGAAACCAGAAGATCCTCAGCCCCAGGAGGCTTTGTCCCTGGAGGCCACCTGAGAGGCCAGAAAGAGGCTTCCAGGTGGGGACCCAGCCCTTGCCTGTGACCTGATGTGGGGTTTTTCAGGAGCCTCCCTCCCTGTGACAGGCCCTAGTATTGGACCCTCAGCAGTGTTCTGAGGCCAGAATGTGAGAAGGATGCTGTCAGAGAAAGAACATGGGAAAGCAGCGGTGTACATCCTGATGGGGATTTTCGATTTGAAATCACACTCTCACCTCCAGGTTCCAGCAGGAACAGACAGATGGGAATGTGACCACAGCAAGTAAGTGCTAACCAGCTAATACACAGACACAGAGAATAGCATGTACCAGGTCCTGCCTCAGCCGCCTTTTGTGAGTTAATGAATTCTCATTATCACCCTATGAGGTAGATACATTTCTTGTCCCTGGATAAGGAAAGTGAGATTCTGGAAAGAGGAACTTGCTTGCCCAAGTTCAACTGAGCTATGAAGGGACAGTTTGATTTTGAGCCTAAGTAGTCTGGTTCTAGAATCCATGCTCTTAACCGCCAATATGGATGAGGCTGGGGACTTCTCTGGTCATTCTCAGGGGCATTTAGAGTTGTTAGAAGCATAGAAATTATCCATTCTAATCCCTACAATTTACAGTCAAGGTCCCAAGGAAAGTTTTTGTGTATGTGATTCAGCTGGTTGGTGTCTAGAACCTAGCTCTCAGCATTTTGGTCCAGTCCCCCAAACTTCCTCTTCCTTGGGGCTTTCTCTTACACCTCCCTGGACAAAAACAGGCAAGCATGTGCCTATGGATGCTGTAACCATATCAGCGGCATCTCCCCTCCCTGCCATCGGAGTGCCCTCGCTCTGGGGCCAGGTGGCAAGCATCTGAAGCCTCTGTCTCAGCACTCACTCAGGGTTCAGGTTTAGAGTCTCCAGTAGCCTTTTGCAGTGTCTGGGCTGTTGAGTGAGCATGATTTTTCCCTCCCCGGCTTCTTGGGAGGACTGAAGACAGTGGATGAGGAAGTGGACGTAAGCACGTGTACTGGGACCATTGGTCAGCTGTCTGCTGGAGGAGGTCACTGCCCACTCAGGAGGTGTTGGGTGCCCTGCAAGGAGCCAGCCTGCCTGGGCTGGGCTGGGCTCGGGGTCACTTGCGTGCAGAAGGGAAAGTCATGGATCAGGCAGGCCCCTGGGTGTGGGCAGAGGTCCCCTCCCTTCTCCTTTCTGTGACTCCTTCTCCCCAGACTACCAGGCCTTCTGCTGGTGCACCTCCTAGAGACCAGACATTTCAGCTTCCCCTGGCACTGTGTGGGGCTGTCTGCCAGAACCAGTGAGCCTTTTGGAACTGTATCCTCCTGAATCCAGCTGGGGTTCTGCACATAAAGAGCCAGGGTCAAGTAGACACTCACTCAGGAAGGCTCAGCTTCCCTCCTAAACTTCTGCAGGCTGTGAAGCCCACCCCTCCCATGAAGGGGCCATGGGGCCATGTTCTCCAGCCATTAGACCTGCTGGGTCCTGGGCAGCCTTGCCAGCTGCCCCTCCCCCCAACCCTGCGAGCAGCACAGGATAATTGCTTCCAAGGGGTTAATGCCGGCTGGAGAAAGCCTGAAATCTGGAGAAAGCCTGCAATGGGGAGGGCAGTGTAGGAGAGGAGAGAGCATGTGGTTTGGCAGCTGTGGGGTTAGATGAGTCACTGGGCCTCTCCAAGCTTCAGTTTCATCTATAAAATGGGTACAAAATCCCTGCCGCACCTCTTATGCATGGTGTAAGAGCTCCTGAGAAGTCTTCTTAGCCTTAAGAGATGGAAGGGCTGTCATCACGTCTTACCACGTGAGCCACCTGCTATGACACCCAGAGGGTGGAGAAGCCCTGGGGCCCTTCTTAAGGTCCGGAGCAGGAGAAAGAGGCTGACTCATCAGGATGTGAGCAGAAATGGCCCGGATTCTATGGGAAGAGGACACACACTGGTGGATCCGAGGCAGCCACGCCAGCCACTTCCTCAGCCTCTGACCGCCACCCCCAGCCCCACGCAGACACACACACACACCCCCCTCTGGGAATGCTGAGCCTGGAGTTTTGACTGGGCCAGGCCACAACAGCATGACTCATCCCCCAGGAAGGCGAGCCCACCCCGCAGGCCTCTGAGGCCCAGGGAACTCTGAAGGAACCCACTTCTGACAGTGGGAGGCACTTCCTCATGTGGCCTCAGCCTGAGCCTCCTGGGTCCCCACAGGCCTCCTGCCCTAGGGACCACAGCTGTCCCCAGAAAAGAGTGTCCAGAGAGCGGGGGGGCCCACCTCAGCCAGGGAAGTGGAAAGGATCAGGAGGAAGAAGGTCCTTGGTATTGAGGAAGGAGCACAGAGCAGGGGGTGGAGGCTCATGGGCACTAGAACTTCCCTGTGTGCCCCAAGCCCTCTCTGGCCTCTAGGTTTCTTGTCTGTGAAACCAGGAGCTTCCCGAGATGATGGCCAAGTTTGTCCTCCTCTTTCGGCACTCTGTGGCCCTCCAGCTTCCTCGTCCTGCAGGATGGGTCGCAGAGGAGAGAGTCTCCCTGGAAGCCTCAGGTGGAGTGGAGCTGGGGCCACACCCACCCAGCTCAGAGGAAAATTTTGCAATAAGGAGTTCGTTATCTGAGCCACCATCAGCTCCCTGTCTTGTTTTTGCTGACGGTATAGAGCTTCTCCATCTTCGGCTACAAAGAATATAATCAATCTGATTTCAGTATTAATCATATAGTGATGTCTATGTGTAGAGTTGTCTCTTGTGTTTTTGGAAGAGGGTGTTTGTTATGACCAGTGCATTCTCTTGGCAAAGCTCTTAGCCTTTTGTCCTGCTTCATTTTGTATTACAAGTCCAAACTTGCCTGTTACTCCAGATATCTCCTGACTTCCTCCTTTTGTATTCCAGTCCCCTGTGATGAAAAAGACGTCTTTTTTTTTTTTTTTTGGTCTTAGTACTAAAAGGTCTTGTAGGTCTTCATAGAACTGCTAAAGCTTCATCTTCTTCGGCATTACAACAGCAGAGGAGAAAGAGGGAGAAGAGACAGAAAAGAACTTTTATTGACTCCCTGCCATCTGCCAGGTCTTTTAAGTCTTATTTATTACTTTTGCGAGTTCATCAGTGTTGGCATCATTATCCCCATTTTATAGGTGAGAAATCAATAACTCACCCAGCCTGTGACATTCAAAAGTCTGAAGTCTGACCTTTCCACATATCCTGCTACCTTTTCTGAAAATAAGTTCAAGCAGGTGGATTTGGCCCTAGATCCACCCATTAACTGTATGAGGCTGAAACGGCTCTCTCCCGCCCAAGGCCTAAAGTCCCCATCTCTAAAATGAGGGTCCTTGTTATAAGACTTAAACCACACTGCCCACATGAAGTGCTCAGCCAGTTCAAGGAGTAGTACAGGTCTGGTACAAAGTCAGTGCACAATAAACTGTGCATTTATTAATACACATTAGGGAAGCGTTTTTCAAGGAGACAAATGCTATCCCATTGGGGAGTCACTGATGTCACCCCCAGATGAGCCAGGGCTGGCTTTTGGCACTTGTTCTGTGCTACCTGAGGGCTTCTGTGACTGTGCAGTGAGCCAAACCTTTCCCAGGGCCAAGATGGGAAGCCTGACTCCTTCCCAAAGTGACTGCAGGCCTGAACTCCTCCCTGGCCCAAAGAGGCTGGGCTGGGCAGCCTGTCTTGACACCTAATCCCTGGGGCTGTAAACCTGCCCCAGTCCCTCAGATACAAAAAGCTTCCATTTCCCCTGCTGGGAACCTGCCCAGTCCAGCCTGTTCAGGCAGACCCAACCCTTGGAGAAAGGAGACAGCACCAGGGGAGGGGAGGAGGCTTAGCACCAGCCCTCCAGCACTCCTCAAGGTGCCCATCCCTAGGGAAGGGCAGGCCTGGCTGGTCCCACCAGCAGGGGGCAATTCAGACTAGGTGGCAGATTAGCACTGTGTATTTGGACTGTAGTCCACCACCTGCCTATTTGTCCAGTGGGGTCTAGAAGTCCATTCATTCAACCCAAACAGTGTAAACTTGTGTATAATAAGGTTCTAGGAGCAAAGAAAGCTGTGGAAGTTACTGGAGGCTGAGCGCACATCTCTCTAGTGACAGTGACCGTGGGACCAGAAAGTGACACAGGTGTGAGTGGTGACCATCAGATGCACAGGCAGCAGCCCAGGGGAGTTCCTGGAGATGGCCCCACCGCCAGATCGGGGGTCTTCTTGAGCCTGCCAGTCTGCGCTCTGGGTGCGGCCCCAGGAGGGAGAAGGGGCTTTCATACCAGCCCTTGTCCTAGGCTTCTGGTTGACCACGAACTTGGCAAGACCTCCCTTGTTCCTCCTGGAGGAGCCCTGGGAACTCTCTCTGACCTGCTCACTCGCTCCAGGGCTGTTGTCTCTGTGCCCTTAGTAAAGCTTGACCTCTTCGCTCTCCCTGCTTCTCTCTCTTTGGCTCAGCTGCCTCACCGAGGCCTTCCGCCAGGGCTCTGTCTGTGACAATGAGTCTGGCAGGACAATGGGCTACCTGGGTAGGCCGTGCAGGTGGCAGCTGGCCTACGTGCCAGGTCCTCTCCTGCACGGGGAGGGATCCCCAAGTCAGAATCTACCGCAGGTCAGGCCGAAGTGAGACCCTTTGGAGAACAGGCAGTTTCTGTCCTTAGTGGGGGCTTTCTTTGCCCCTTTGATACTGGGTCTGGTTACATCCTGATCCCCCGACCCAGATTTCCTCTGCGTTCCCAACCAGGCACATCAGCATTTCTCCTTAAGGGTCCGTTGGCTCCCCTGTGTGTGACCTCCACTGTTCCCAAGCAAGCACTGGTCCTAACATCCCTCCTCACATCTTTGGGAGTGGATGGGGTCTCTCACCTTGAGATAAGTCTGCCATAGCCCTGTTTTGTTCACTCACCCTAGGATGTGTTCAGATTTCTTTGTAGATGTGGTCTCTCCCTCCCACTTTGTGCTGCCATCACCGCTCAGCCCGCCCTGCCTGCTGCCTGCATCTGGGCATCGTGCCCTTGCCCCAGGCTGTGGGACAGAGCTCCCAGGGAAGTCCCGCCTTATGTGTGTTCCTCGCTCAGCCGTGTCCGACTCTTTATGACCCCATGGACTGTAGCCCGCCAGGCTCCTCTGTCCATGGGGATTCTCCAAGCAAGAATACTGGAGTGGGTTGCCATTTCTTTCTCTAGAGGATTTTCGCAATCCAGGGACTGAACCCAGGTCTCCCTGGTTCAGGATCTTTGTCAAACCCAGACCTGCAGGTGGAGTGGCCCCTGCTCGGGGCTCAGGAGGCACAAGGCTTCCCTGCCCTCTGGGAGCTGAGGCTTGTGCAGAGAGGAGCTGGAAGATGGGTGGGGATCACATTGTAGCTGCTGTTGACAGATATCGTTAGGAAGGACATTTCAGAAGTCCCAGGTGGCACTAGTGGTAAAGAACCTGCCTGCCAGCACAGGAGATGCAAGAGACGTGGGTTTGATCCCTAGGTCAGGAAGATCCCCTCGTGGAGGAAATGGCAGTCCATTCCAGTATTCTTGCCTGGAATCCCATGGACAGAGGAGCCTGGTGACCCTATGGCCCATAGGGTCGCAAAGAGTCAGACGCGATTGCAGTGACTTAACACACACATTTTAAAGATAGCCACTGCCTATGCATGGGGTGCTCTGGTCCGGTGTGAGGGAAGCATAGGCAGGTCAGTGGCCACAGAAAGTAGCCCTAGGCCTGCGTTGACCTGAGTCAGCAGTGTGATATGGCAGGTAACAGTCCAAGCCAGGTCAACTAACCAGGATGTCCAACATGTGGGAGGGGCCTCCCTGTTGCCCAGTTCCATCCAGGCCAGATCACATGCCTTGGGTCTGGGCCTGGGCCCACCGGAGCACTTTCAGAAGTCAGCAGCCAGGGAGGGAAAGGTTAGCAAGGGCTGGAGCTGCTTAACCAGAAGATTCAGAAGGTGGAAACATCTCCAAGTATATGAAGGGCTTTCAGATGAAAGAGAGTTTCAATTCCAGGGACATAACACAGCCCAGTGAAAATGAAATTCAGGGGCAAAAGCTTTAGTGACAGACGTTGGTCGGTGTGGAATGGTTGGTAGCAGCTGCCCAGAGCACTGTGCCATGACAGGTTCTGGACTCGGTGGGGCCACATGCCAGAGTCAGCCCATCTGCTGGGCGCTGGCTGGCAGGCTGCTCCACAGTGCCATGTCCTTGCCACCTGCTTCTAAGCCACTGCTAGAGAAACTGGCCGGACCCTTCAGGTTATGTGAAGGTGACCGGGCGGTCTGTGGCAGGTGGCCCTTTCCCAGGGCCCTTGTGACCTGCAGGCCAGAGACTCGATATTTTTTGAGCATGGGGCCTTTGATAGTCTGGTGAAGCCTAGAGTAGTGTTTTGAAGTGTGCAAATAAAACCCTGAGGCTTACAGAAAAAGCTAATTGCATTGAAATAAGATTATCCAGACATTAAAAAAGCTAGTTTGTAATATAGTAAAAGGTATGTGCATGCAGTTCTTAACACATGAAATTAAAAGCAGTGGGTCTAATTATTGTAATTTTTGACTAGTGATGAGTGTAAGTGATACTTCACAGTACCTACAATGACTCGAATGTGAAAATGAGAATAGCTGTGATTTCCATGTGTGACAGAGCTGTAGGTCCTGCAATAGTATAATTTGAAGAAATGCTAAATTTCTGCTAGCGGTTCATGAGATTTCAGCTAAAGGTGCCCAGGCCCCCACTTTCTGTCGCAACTCCCAGGTGAAGACCGCTTACCGTGAAGACTAGCCCCTTCAAGGGGGAACCCCACTCTGGGCCGAGTCCCTTAAGTCTGGCCTCTTGGCATCAGGAGGCGTGAGCTCTCTGCAGGCCTGGGACCAGGTGGGGGAACCCATGCACTGCAGGGTTTGACCTTCTCTCTGTCTGCTGCAGGTGGGCGGACAACTTCGTGGCCCCAGGCTGTGGAGGGAGCCAGGAACACAGCTTTCAGCACCCCTTCCTCCAGGTATCTGTTCCTCTCCTCTCCCAGCTCTGTCTCCCAGGTCTCAGGGCAGGTGCCCCCATGAGGCCCTGCTGTTTCCTGTCCTAGGGGTGGAGTCTTCCCTTGCTCCCTACTTCTCTCTCTCCCTCCCCAGAACACAGGCCAAGGTGTGGGGTGCCCCTGAAAGGGGCCAAAGGCCCTGTTCCCTGTAGGAGGCCTGCAGAAGTCCTAGTGAGTGGTCATGTCCTAGACACTGTGAGGCCAGCCCTCACCACGACAAAGTCAGGACTCATTTGGAAAAATCAACCCCTAGTAAAACTTGCTCTCCAACCATGGGGAGCCCAGACCCTCTGAGACAGGGCAGGCACCACCAGTGGAAGCTACCTTATTGCTGAACTAGGAAGTGGGTGAGACAAATTTCAGCCTCAGTTCTGCCAGCAACCTGCTCTGTGACCTTAAATAAGTTCTCGAGCCTCTCAGGGTCTCAGTTTCTCCATCTGGAACTTGACCAGGAAGTGGCCTAGACTGGTGGGTTTTCCGGCCAGGCTCTATAGCCTTAGGGTTTCCATCGAGGTGCCTGAGGAACTAAGGAGTAGATGTAGGAGGCAGCAGCTCCCACACAGGAGCTCTGCGTTTATCTGTTTTCCATGTTGGGTTTATAGGTAAACTCTTATTTGAAGAAAGATTTTTTTTTTTTTAATTTTTGTTATGGGACTTCCCTGGTAGTCCAGTTGTTAGGACTCTGTGCTTTCACTGCTGAAGGCATGGGTTTGATCTCTGGTCAGGGAGCTAAGATCCCAAAATCGTGTAAACTGTTAGTCGCTTAGTCATGTCTGACTTTTTGCCACCCCATTGACTGTAGCCCGCCAGGCTTCTCTGTCCATGGGATTCTCCAGGCAAGAATACTGGAGTGGGTAGCCATTCCATTCTCCAAGAGATCTTCCTGACCCAGGGATCGAACCTGGGTCTCCTACATTGCAGGCAGATTCTTTACCATCTGAGCCACCAGGGAAACCCAAACTGTGTGGCATGGCCAAAAGAAAAAAAAAAAATTAGCTGCAGGTGAACCTCCTTCCAGCTCTGAACTGGCCTGGTCTGTCCCTGCAGGCAGTGGGCATGTTCCTGGGAGAGTTCTCCTGCCTGGCTGCCTTCTACCTCCTCCGGTGCAGAGCTGCGCGGCACCCAGACACCAGCACAGATCCCCAGCAGCCCTTCAACCCTCTCCTTTTCCTGCCCCCAGCCCTCTGCGACATGACAGGGACCAGCATCATGTATGTGGGTGAGTCGCCAGGCCAGGCTGCCAAGGGCTCAAACTGTAGCCCCAGGGGGATGCTGGTGAAAGAGCCTCCCCCACCCCCAGCTCATCTTCAGTTCAGTAGCTCAGCCGTGTCCGACTCTTTGCATGGACTGCAGCACACCAGACCTCCCTGTCCATCACCAACTCTTGGAGTTTACTCAAACTCATGTCCATTGAGTCGGTGATGCCATCCAACCATCTCATCCTCTGTCTCATCCTCATCAATTCATCTTCAGTTCCCCCTTTACACACACACACACACACACACACACACACAACAGCTCATCTCCAGCTCCCCCTTTACACACACACACACACCCCTTTACACACACATAGCACCAGCATTCACTGAGTACTTAGTACTTAGTACGTGTCAAGCCTGAGGACACCTCAGTGAACAGAGCAACCGGGCCCTCAGGAGCTCACGTCATACATCTTTCCTCTCCCAGCCCTGAACATGACCAGTGCCTCCAGCTTCCAGATGCTGCGGGGAGCCGTGATCATCTTCACAGGCCTGTTCTCGGTGGCCTTCCTGGGACGGAGGCTGGCGCTGAGCCAGTGGCTGGGCATCCTCGCAACCATCGCCGGGTTGGTGGTGGTGGGCCTGGCCGACCTCCTGAGCAAGCATGACAGCCAGCACAAGCTCAGCGAAGTGATCACAGGTGTGGCTGGGGGCAGGCGTCCAGGGGTCGCCCAGCACAGAGGCGGGGGAAGAAGCATTTGACAGGCTCTGGTGCCTGACAAGCCTCGGGGGAGGGTGTGCAGGGTACCAGCTGCTGGCCTGTACCTGCTTTTGAAGTGATGAGAGCAAGTAGGGCCAAGCAGCATGAGGGAGGGGTGGGTAAGGAGTGGGGAGGTCGGAGGAGGGAGAGGGCTCGGGCTACATTTACTTACAGCCACACAACCTACAGGATCCAGGAGAGGAAACGCATGAACGTTTACTGAGCACTTACCCAGCGATCAGCCAGTTCTATGCACTGTGCTCATCATCACTGTCAGCCTTACGGTCCTGGAAAGGAAGGCCTGCAGCAGTTTTACTGTGAAGTGGCCACCCTGGTCCCTCAGAGGCAGAATTAAGCCAGAAATGTCCATCTCAAACCCCATTGCTTCTCAAAAGACCCACTTACCCCAGTTGTGCAGCCCTCAGACCCCTGGGCCTCTGGAGCCTCACCTGAGACGGGGGGCGGTGACAGTGCCTGCCCTGCTGGCCTGCCCCACCCCTCAGGAGCCAGGAGATCAGGCTCAGGGATGCCCTGCAGAGTCAGAGGCCATGGGGGGCTGTTCCATCCCTGAGGGAGCTGTCTCCCCGAGCCCTGGCCTCACCCTGGGCCCCTCCTTCTTCCCACAGGGGATCTGTTGATCATCATGGCCCAGATCATTGTCTCCATCCAGATGGTGCTGGAGGAGAAGTTTGTCTACAAGCACAACGTGCACCCACTGCGGGCAGTCGGCACAGAGGGTGCGTGTGAACATGGGCTGGCGGGAGGGCGCTGGGTGGGGTGAGCCCTGCAGGGTGGCACATGGAGAGAACATGTTGGGGGCCTGGTGGGTGCTGGGGACGTCTGGGAGGGGTGAGCCTCCTACCTCCCATCCTTCTCTTCACCATGTACATGTTGACAAATACTCTGACATGTGCTGTGCACTCAGCCAGGAGCTAAAGGAGGACAGAGAGGAAGATGAATAAGATGCAAGCTGCACTTTAGGGGAGCTGACCACTTCCTAGAACTGACCAAGAAAGGAGCAGGCAGGCCACCTTTACTCAAGTGATAGTTCACTTGCCAGGCATATCTGAGTGTCACGGTCCAGGGAAGGTGGCATTCGGGCTGCAGGTTTCAGCAGGCAAGAGTGGGAAGGAGGGAACTGCAGACAGAGAGGAAATGTGGGGAGCTGGACATGAGTTTGGAAACCAGTGAGGAATAGTTTGGGAAGGGGTACAGGTTTGATGTTAGGGAAATAACCAGGAATTGAATATGTCAGGGCCATGTTGTAGAGAACCTTGAACATCAGGCAAGTGGATTTAGATCTTAAATGACAGGCAGGGAAAAACTACCAAAGGTTTTTGAGCAGGAAAGCAAATCAAAATCAGTGCTTTAAAAATATTAAACTAACAGGGTGGATTAGACCAAGGTGTGACCCTTGGTCTCCTCAGGGAGTTGGTTGTGCTTGGCGCACTGTGAGCTGAGGGCTTATGACAGAATGTGAACCACCTAAATCAGCTATGTCATCAAGCACACCGATTGCTTCCACTTGTTTTTTTATCTAGCAAAACTTTCGGAGTGAAAGTGAAAGCATTAGTCACTCAGTCGTGTCAGACTCTTTGCGACCCCACGGACTGTAGCCCGCCAGGCTCCTCTGTTCATGAGGATTCTCCAGGCAAGAATACAGGAGTGGGTAGCCATTTCCTCCTCCAGGGGATCTTCCCCACCCAGGTGTTGAATCTGGGTCTCCCACATTGCAGGTGGATTCTTTACCATCTGAGCCACCAGGGAAGCTACTCCTGAGTGAAGCAGTGCCTTGATTTACATTCCAGTCCAGCTCCTTGTCACAGACCAATGGCACTGAATTAGAGAGCTGTGTTTCTCCACACTTGGGAGAGCAATGTAGTGCTTGGAGCAAGCCAATCCTTCTGTCAGTGAATAGAACTGAATTTTAAAAAATGTCAGACAGCATTGTATGTTGTAAGGATAGCTGTTTTGTGGCAGTGTGTACATGCTTGTCCACTGGTCACAATATAAAGTCTATTTCCTGTTCTTGGTCCAGTCAGAAAACACAGGTTAAACGTGGAGAAGGGGCAGCCAGAGCCCATTCAGTAGGCAGTTTTGAGTTTCTAATGAGCAGGATGCCTCCAGGACCTGGAAGGAGCTGGTTTGAGGGTGGCTTGGCAGGGGTGGCCAGAGGTCAGCGGAGCCCCGGCAGGGCAGGACCGGGGCTCTAGCAGAGAACCTGACATGCTCCCTCCACTCCTGCAGGCCTCTTTGGCTTCATGATCCTCTCCTTGCTGCTGATACCCATGTACTACATCCCCGCCGGCTCCTTCAGCGGAAACCCTCGAGGTACCCTGGAGGACGCGCTGGACGCCTTCTGCCAGGTGGGCCGACAGCCGCTCATCGCACTGGCGCTGCTGGGCAACATCAGCAGCATCGCCTTCTTCAACTTCGCGGGCATCAGCGTCACCAAGGAGCTGAGCGCCACCACCCGCATGGTGCTCGACAGCCTGCGCACCGTTGTCATCTGGGCGCTGAGCCTGGCGCTGGGCTGGGAGGCCTTCCACCCGCTGCAGATCCTTGGCTTCCTCATCCTCCTGGCGGGCACCGCCCTCTACAATGGGCTGCACCGCCCACTGCTGGCCCACCTGTCCAGGGGCCGGCCCCCGGCCGAGGAAGGCGAGCGTGAGAGGCTGCTGGGGGGCTCTCGGACTGCCATCAACAATGCCAGCTGAGCCTCCTGCGGGACTTCTGCCGCCACCTGGACGCTCCTTGTTCACCCTGAGGCTGAGGCCATGTGGGCTGGTGAACCTCAAATGCTCTGTCCCCGAGGCCTCACCCCGCCCCCTCCCCACCGACCCCCACCCAGGGCAGCCACTGCCACAACATCCAGGTCTTCCTTTGTCACCACCCGTGCAAAGAGGTGTTACCCAGCCCCCTCTGAGGTTCAAGTGCCATGCCCAACCCCTGCCAGGCTTCCCCAGCCCCCCAGCCCCCTGGAATACTAGAGCTAAATCATGGGGTAGAATTGAAGCAGCCCTAGGGCTTCCTCTTAAGTCATAGGCTAAATGTGGTTCTCCCAGGAAGAGAGGTCAGTGAGCAAATTCTAACAGAACTAAGCACCCGTTTTCTAAAACTTGTAAGATATCCCTAACTCTTTCTGGAGACTGAGGTTTCAGCTGGGGCCTTGCTTCAAACGCTGTGTGCTCCCCAGCCCTGTACCTGGTTCTTCTGGGCCTTGGCATCTTGCTCTGTACAAGGTGTCCACGGTGTAGGACCAACCTGGGGAAGGAGGAACAGCCCGTTTATTGGAAATGCCTCCTGGAAATGCCCGTGGTGCTCCTCCTCCTCCTCGCTCACACCCCCTGGGCCTCCCCATCTGGGAGAGATTACAGGGGGGTTTTCAGGCAGCCCTTGAGAACAGTTTTTATGAACTCTGATTCAGCTTCCGTTTTAAAGCTGAGGAAGCTGAGTCCCAGAGTTTTAAGTTGTTTGGCCCAAAGGGCTCTCCTGCCCGAGGCTCTGGCCATGCAGCCACATGACCGGGTGGCAGTCTGGGGTGTCGAGGGTGTTTGGGCCTCAGGTCCACCCCCAGCACCCCCATTCCATGGAGAGCCCTCCAGGGTGATGGGTCTCCCGGGAGTGTACCATTCAGAGGGTGATGGGTCTCCTGGGAGTGTACCATTCAGAGGGTGATGGGTCTCCCGGGAGTGTACCATTCAGAGTGATGCTGCTATCCCAGGCACGTGTTAGTGCCTAACAGCCTACACAAGTGGATGCGGATGAGAAAACTGGCCCAGAGGAGGTCAGGTGACGTCCTCATGGAACCAGTATTCCAAGCGCGGACTGCCTGATCCAAACCTGTAGCCCCACCTACGATACGAGTGTCTCTGGGATCTTTGGGCGGGGATCCATCCTGTGCTCTTGTCCTCCTGGTAACTCACCCCTGAAGAGAGGGAACTGGTAGCAGAGACCCCAGGGAGCTGAGCAGCCCTTCTTTCCAGTGGTCCTCACTCTGTGGCAGTTTCTGGAGCCTCAGTTCACTCCCCTGGGCAGCTCCATCATGAAAACAAAACACCAAATGCCTTCCCTAAAATAGATCATTGGGGAAGGAATCTCTGACCAGCAAAGCCCTCGGGCTGTGGGGATCCAGCAGGTTCTTGCCATCCTGTACCCCCAACTCTGAGTCCCAGGGGGCCCTGAGCTCCTCTGGGCCATGGTATGTATCACAGGAGGAAGGAGATGGAGAGTGAGGAGGTAGGGACTAGAGCTGCTTAGGGGCCTTACAGTGTTGTTTCAGGCTTTTTATTTTTAAAAAAAACAAAAGGAAATTGGCAATATGGACTTTTCTCTTTAGTGAGAAGGAAGAAGCACAAGGGTTAGGACATTCCTTGAGGTGATGTCTAGAATGTCAGAATGGAAAAACTAATGCACCAGAGAAATCATCCAGCCCCAATCCCCATTGTTCACATGAAGAAGTTGAAGCCCAGAGAGAATGACACTTAAGAATGCACAGAGCCAGGGACTGGCAAAGACAAATTTGCTGGTTCTCAGTCCTTGCCCGTCCCGTTCTCCCATTGGAGTAGGGCTGGGAGCCTGAACCAAGAGTCCAGGACTGGCTAAAGTACACAAATCATGAACTGTGGATTTTAGCATTGAAGGGTTGTGGAGTGAGGGGCGGCAGAGCATGGGGAGGGGAAATCCTAGTCAGGCCTGCCACCACCTCCGGCACCTTGCTTTAGGTCTTCACATCTCTATAATGGGGAGGCCTGTATCTCACAGGATGGCTGTGGGCATTAACCTAAGATAGTAAGTGGAAGGTGCCTGTAAGTGCTTACAGTGGAGTGTCCTGTCAGGCTGCTCTGCCCACAGGGGTGACTCTCAGGCACTGAGGTCCCAACAGAGCCCTGGCGCGGAGCATCAGTTTTGCTTGGGGGGGGGGGGGGGGCATCTTTTGTTACACTATTGTGGAGTAGAGTGTAAACCTCATGTCAATTATAAGATAAAACAGGATGCCTTGTGAAGTTTTTATTTTGAACCTAAGTACCCCTCGGGGCTGTGGAGGCGTGTCCTCTCTGTCCTGGTCTCTGGGGGGCTTCAGAGGATGAGTGTGGGAGGCTGTGCTATGTCGTTCTGGTCATGGGGGTGGAGGGGGTAGGATCCCTACTCTCCCACTGAGTCTCGAGGGTTGTGGGGAACGTCTGCAGCTGTGGCCTACTGCTCTGAGCAAGGTAAGAGGGCCCTGGACCCCAAAATTAGAATTGACTGATAACAGACTTATAAACATCAGTTTAGATACAGTGTTATTCAGGCCATCTGCATTGTTGTGAACTGACCAGTCTGCCCCATTCACAGTGGTCCTGGAAAACCTTGGGGCTGGAGCATCCTCCAGGACTACCATCCAGGCCCTGGAGGGGCTCTCAGGCTCACTGCCCCCAAGAGAGACTTAGGACCATGCCAGGCGGTTGCGTTTGCCTTCACTTGTCCAAAGGTCTCTTAACAATCGAACGGCACTCAAGGGGTCAGAGTCCCCTGATGAGGACGGTAGGAGGATTGGACTGAATGGCCACGTGGTGTTAGGGGGAAGAAGCAGAAAGGGCATCAGAGAGCTGTGTCTTCAGTCCACCCCTCCTTGACTGTGGCTTTAGACAAGTGATGTTACCTCTCCAGACCTTGGCTGCCTACAAGAGGGAGGTTCTTTGCTTCCTAAGTGTGTTTGCCTCCCTGATGTGCTTGCAGATTGATTTTTTTCTTTCATGTTTCCCTTGGTTAAGAGCCCACCCAGCCTTCTGTTGACTACATCCTTTGAAAATCTGAGGTCATCAGGGGGTTCCTCCTATAGCCATAAAAGTTTATAGATCACTCTTCTTCAGTAAGAACTCTTTGTCAAAAAAAATTTTTTTTTCATGTTTTAAAGAATTTTTATCAGAGTATAGTTTATGTAAAATGCTGTATTAGGGACTTGTCTGGTGGTCCCGTGGTTAAGACTCCATGCTTCCACTGCAGCACTGCAGGAGGCATGGGTTCAGTCCCTGGTCAGGGCACTAAGATCCTGCATGCAACATAGTGCAACTAAAAATAAAAAAGTGTTTTGTTTTTGCTGTATAGCAAAGTGAATCAGTTATACATATATCCACTCTTGTTTAGATAGACAGATAAAAGGCCTCTATAATGGCCTTTTCTTTTAAGTCACTACAGAGTATGAGTAGAGTTCACTGTGCTGTATAGTAGGTCCTTATTAGTTATCTATTTTATATATGATAGTGTGTATATGTCAATCCCAACCTCCCAATTTATCCCTTCCCTTTCCCGCCTAGTAACCATAAGTTTGTTTTCTACATCTGTCTTGTCAAAAAAAAAAAAATATATATATATATATATATATATATATTTCTATCCCATAATTCAAACTTTCATTGAGAACTGAAGTGCTCCAAGAACTGGATCCATCAGAGAAAACCAGAGAGACAGATGTGTAAGGAAGGAGTTGGAGCCCAGCAGATGTTTCCTAGTGAGAGGCCTTTGTCTGAGGGCGGGGGTGATGGGGCCAGAAGAGCAGCTCAGAGCCCAGAGCTGTCAGCTCCTTTGGAACCCGTGTTGCAAAATGAGCAGATGTCTTCCAGGCTGGGAGGAGAGGAAGAGGAAAGTCATATTCTAGGAGCAAGGAATGGCTGGTGAAAGTACAGAAATGTGTTAAGTGTGTAACCAGATAATGAATTCAAGAGCTGCAGGTGAGTAGGTTGGTTTGCCGGCCATGAGTACAACACAGTGGCAAGAGACAAGGCCAGAGAGTGGCACAGGCCCCTGGGTAGTGCTGTGCCTTTTAGGCTTTGCTGAGCCACTAGAACTCCATCCTTAGATAGCAGGGTGCCAAAGGAGTGATGAAACCCAAATTGTTGTTTGGAAAGATCACCCGGTTGTTATATGGAGACAGTTTTGACTTGCGTCAGGAGGTACTAAAGGCAGAGACTGGTGAAACACCCATTGGGGACTTCCCTGGTGGTCCAGACTCCATGCTTCCAATGCAGGGGATGCGAATCCAATCTCTAACCAGGGAACAAGTGTCCCACATGCTGTGTGGTGTGGCCAAAAAATAAACAACAAAGAAAAAAACACTGGTTAATTAGGGTCTAAACTAGAGAAGGGCTTCCATGGTAACTCAGATGGTAAAGAATCTGCCTGCAATGCAGGAGACCTGAGTTTGATACCTGGATCAGGAAGATCCTCTGGAGGAGGGCATGGCAACCCACTCCAGTATTCTTGCCTGGAGAATCCCACAGACAGAGGAGCCTGGCGGGCTACAGTCCATGGGATCTCAAAGAGTAGGACACAGGTGAGCGGCAACACTTTCAAACTAGAGAAATGGTGGAGAGGATGAAGGTCAGAGCCATTCAAAGGGTAAACTTAAATTTTCGAGCTCTTGGCTGTTGGATGGTCTATTGTGTAAGCTGTCACCACAGACTGGGTCTCCTGGACCAGACTGCTCAGCCCACCCCCCATCACCAGTAGACCCACAGCGCATCCCCAAGCACAGCTCCAGCCAGCCAATTCAAGGAGATGCTGCCTTAAAGGACCATAGACCCACATCAACCCAGTCTGCCTGTTGTTGAGAGTTAGTTGTTACCTTCTTAAGGTAGGCAGGAACTCTCACCCAGATTCTGGAACAGCCAAGGGAGAGATCACCATGGGCATCCAAAATCAGAAGTCATCAGTACAAAATAGTGTTCGTTTGCTTTTATTTATAAAATAAATGTCAGAGGAAGAAAGGGCCACCAAATTCAATGCAGAGTATTATTCCCAGGTTCTGTTCCTCATTCTAAGGTAAAGACTTGGGTTCCATTGCCGCTTGATGCAGTGAGTAGAGTTCTTGACTGTGAATCCAGAGTTCCAGATCTTGCTCTAACTAGTGGCCTGAGAAGCCCCTTCCTCTCCCAGGCATCAGTCTCCTTGTCCCATGGATAAAGGAAGTAAGCCAGATATATTCACAGGCATCTCCAGGAATCTGTGGTCTTTGTTCCTACTGATGATCCAGAGATTCTTCCATGCTGACCAGCAAGAGGCACCGGGGAGTGTGGTTAGGGCTCATGCATGCATGCTAAGTCGCTTCAGTCATGTCTGACTCTGTGTGACTCCATGGACTGTAGCCCACCAAGCTCCTCTGTCCATGGGTTTCGCCAGGCAAGACTACTGGTGTGGGTTGCCCTCCTCCAGGGGATCTTGCCAACCCTGGGATCAAACCCACGTCTCTTGCGTCTAACCCGCAGTGGCAGGTGGTTACCACTAGCACCACCTGGGGCTCATGGTCTACCTTAATACCCAAAGAAAAGGAGCCCATTTGGGTGCAGAGTTCACTCATAATTAATTCAGTCACCCACTGCCATTCAAAAAGGGTGATACCTGGCCAGATGCCAGCCCCAGACCCACATATATACAAGGACTGGCCCTGGCCTCTCCAGAATCAGAATTCTTGTCCTTGGGCCAGCCTCCCATTCTCCCAGAAGTGCCAAATCCTGCTCTGAGGATGATGGTCCTGGTGTCCATTCTGATCCTGACTTTGATGCTGGATGGGTCCCTTCACAATTAGGTAACTTCTTTGTCTTTCATACTTTTCATGTCTCTCCATGATCTAACACAGTTCACAAATTATTGTTTTTCATGTGTGCAGAGAGCATATCCTAGGGATCATTAACTTGCTGAGCTCACTGAGCAGTATGTGGGTCTCCTGCCACCACTGCTTAATTGTTTGGGGGTTTTGTTCCTAAGAAAGCACTGCTTGGGTCTTGTGGTTAAGTAAACCTGCTCTCTTGAGTAATCATTAACTTACTGGGGTCTCTCATATTCTACTTAAAATCCCCTAGTGTGATTAACTATTTCCTTACCTATTTTCTACCTTATTTTCTGTTGTTCCTCAGTCGCTCAGTAAGTAACTACTGGGGATGCAATGTTGTGCTAACATTTGTGCTCAGTCGCTCAACTGGGTTCAACTCTTTGCAATGCTATGGACAGCAGCCTGCTCAGCTCCTCAGTCCATGGTATTTTCCAGGTAAGAATACTGGAGGGGGTTGCCCTTTCCTACTCCAGGAGATCTTCCAGACCCAGAGATCGAACCCTTGTCTCATGCATCTTCTACATTGGCAGGCAGTTTCTTTACCACTGAGCCACCTGAAAACCCACCTTACTTTCTACTTACTTCTAATAAAGCAAAGAAGGCACTCGAGGTCTAAAGCAAAATGAGGGGAGATTTGCTTTGTCTGACTAACAGGTCTTGAAGACTAGTATAGTAGGACTTCTTGCCTCTGTGTCATTGAATAACAACCATCCTTCTGTCATGTGACTATATCTCAATGGGTTCAACCAAACATTCCTTTCCTTCCCTGCCTCCCCTACCTTTTCCTTCCCCTCCTCCCATATCTTTCCTTCCTCCCTTTCTTTCTCTCCTCCCTTCCTTTCTTATTGTGGTAAAATATACACAACATAAAACTGACCACATTGACCATTAGTAAGAGTAGAGTTCAGTGGCATTAAGTACATTTACATTTGCTGTGCAGCCGTCACCCATCACTCATCTGCAGAACTTTTTCATTTTACCAAACAAAAACTCTATACCCATTAAACAATAATTCTCCTTTCCTCCCTTCCCCCAGCCCCTAGCAACCACCATCCTACCTTTCTGTCTCTATGAATTTGATGATTCTAGGCTTCTCATATAAGTGGCATCATACAATATTGGTCCTTTTGTGTCTGGTTTATTTCGCTTAACATAATGCCTTCAAGATTCATCCATGTTGTAATATGTATCCAAATTTCCTTGCTCTGTAAGGCTGAATAATATTCCACTGTATGTGTATACCATTCACTTAGACATTTTTGGCTATTGTGAATAACACTGCTATGAGCCTTACTGTACAGATACCTGTTCAAGCCTCTGCTTTTTTTTTGAACTATATATGCAGAAGTGGAATTGCTAGGTCATATGGTAATTCTTTTTTTTTTTTTTATCCTTCATGAGACTTTAATTCTACCTGCAGTGTATGCTATAATATCATAATCCAATCAGGTAACCATTTAGACTTAAAATAAATTTTTTTTCGTTTATTTTTATTCGTTGGAGGCTAATTACTTTACAACACTGTAGTGGTTTTTGCCATACATTGACATGAATCAGCCATGGATTCACATGTGTTCCCCATCCCGATCCCCCCTCCCGCCTCCCTCTCCATCCCATCCCCCGATCATATGGTAATTCTATATTTAATTTTTTGATCCACTGCCATACTGTTTTCAACTGTGACTGCACCATTGTGCATCCCCACCAACCAGCAGTGAAAAGGGTTCTCTAAAATCACTGATTTTGTAACATTTTTCCTGATTACAGTACAGGTTACTATAGAACATCTAGAAAATGTAAAACAAACAAACAAACAAACAAAAAACATAATATAAAACCCCTTTTATTCTAACTAGTTCTACATTTGACCTCAAACATATTATTCCCCAACAGGAAGGGAAGGGATGGTTTCCCTTGGGGTGATTCTATTGAAATGCTGGAGCCTGTGATCCAAGAAAAGAGCTGAGGCCTGCCTTGCTTGATCTCATTGTCAAGAGTCCCCATCCTGGCTGTCCCACGACCCTAATCATTAATAGCGTTCAGGATGATATGGTTGGATGGCATCACCGACTTAATGGACATGAGTTTGAGCAAGGTTCGGGAGTTGGTGATGGACAGGGACGACTGGCGTGCTGCAGTCCATGGGGTCTCAGAGAGTCGGACACGACTAAGCGACTGAACTGAACTGCGTTAACGCTCATTTCTGAGTCGCGTTCGTGGGGTGTTCGGGGTGACCCTAGTCTCAGGCGAGGCACGGAATAGTCACATTCTCCTTGGGTTTGTCTCCTAATCTTTAAAAGCCAATTTAGGATTAATAGAGCAAAACGTAAAATATTTGCGCAAAGTGATTCGTCTAGAGAAACGCGTTCCACACACGTATCGTCTACAACGTCAGAATGGAGCTTGCTTTTTTCGACCAGAAGCCACGGGACTACTTGGGTCTAATCCGTCAAACCTGCCGGCCTCTCCAAGAGAGCGGTG